GTAATCCATGCTTCAGACTTCCCTAAGAACTCAGATCGAAGGAGGTTCTTGTGTGTCTTGATATACGAATCTACCAAGGAGGAGTTATGTAGAACTGTGTAGTGTGCTTTATTGAAATAATCATCACCTTTACCAATATATGTTTTCTTCCCTAGTGTCCCCTTTCCACTTAGTCTCCCCTCGTGTCGCGATTCAGGAACACCAATCAGGTTAATATCGGGAATGAAGTCAACATAGAACTCAATGACCTCCTCTGTTCCATAGCCCTTGGCGATGCTTCCTTCTGGCCGAGCACAGTTGTGAACATATTTCTTTAGGATTCCCATAAACCTCTCAAAGGGGAACATGTTGTGTAGGAACACAGGACTGAGAATAGTAATCTCCTTGACCAGATGAACTAGGAGGTGTGTCATGATATCAAAGAAGGAAGGAGTGAACACCAACTCAAATCTGACAAGACATTGAACCACATCATTCTGTAGTTTCGCTAGATCCGTTGGATCGATTGTCTTCTGAGAAATTGCATTGAGGAATGCACATAGCTTCACGGTGGCTAGACGTACATTTGGTAGTAGAATTCCTCTTAATGCAACTGGAAGCAATTGAGTCATGAGCACGTGGCAATCATGGGACTTTAAGTGTCCAAATTTCTTCTCTAGCACATTTATTATATCCTTTATATTCGAGGAGAATCCAGACGGTACCTTAATGCTATCTAGGCATTCAAACAAGCTGCCCTTCTCTTCTTTGCTAAGAGTGTAGCTGGCAGGACTTAAGTACTGGCGTCCATCATCTGTCTTCTTTGGATGCAGGTTGTCTCGTTCTTTCAAACACCGTAGGTCCTGTTGTGCTTCAATTGTGTCCTTAGGCTTCCCATACACGCCCATGAAGCCTAGCAGATTCACACAAATATTTTTCGTAGGTGCATCACATCGATCACACTGCGGACCTCCAGGACTTGCCAATAGGGTAGCTCCCAAAATATGGACTTCTTCTTCCACATGGGTGCGTGACCGTTGGCGTCCTTCGAAACAGGTTGGCTGCCAGGTCCCTTTCCAAATATTACTTTCACATCATTGACCATATCGAGGATGTCCTCACCAGTTCGGTTGCGAGGCTTGATCTGGTGGTCTGCCTTACCTTTAAAATGATTGTCTTTCTTTCTTACGGGGTGATTTGCAGGAAGAAATCGTCGATGCCCAAGGTACATGACCCTGTGACACTTTTTCAAGAATATACCTTTCATGTCATCGAAACAGTGCGTGCATGCATTATATCCCTTGTTTGATTGTCCTAAAAGATTACTTAGAGCTGGCCAACCATTATTGTTACGAACAACAATGCTCGTAGGCCAAAGTGCTCCTGCTTGTGCTCATCCCACACGCGTACACCTGGCTTGTTCCACAAAAGTAGAAGTTCTTTAACTAGTGGCCTCAGGTACACATCGATGTCGTTGCCAGGTTGCTTTGGGCCTTGGATGAGCACCGGCATCATAATAAACTTACGCTTCATGCATAACCAGGGAGGAAGGTTGTAAATACATAGAGTAACAGGCCAAGTGTTGTGACTACTGCTCTGCTCCCCGAAAGGATTCATACCATCTATACTTAAAGCAAACCTTAAGTTTCTTGCGTCACTTGCAAACTCGGAAAATTCTCTATCGATTGCTCTCCACTAGGACCCATCAGCAGGGTGTCTCAACATATTGTCTACCTTACGGTCTTCTTTGTGCCATCGCAACAACTTTGCATAGTCTCTGTTTCTAAAAAGACGTTTCAAGCGTGGTATTATAGGAGCATACCACATAACCTTGGCAGAGATTTTCTTCTTGGGATGTTCGCCCTCAACATCACCAGGGTCATCTCGCCTGATCTTATACCGCGATGCGTGACATACAGGGCATGCATCCAACTTCTCGTACTCCGAGCCACGGTAGAGGATGCAGTCATTAGGACATGCATGTATCTTCTGGATTTCTAATCCTAAAGGGCAGACTACCTGTTTTGCTTCGTACGTAGTGCTGGGCAATTCGTTATCCTTCGAAAGCATCTTCTTTTGGATTTTTAGTAACTCCGCGAATCTCTTGTCAGATACACCATTATTTGCCTTCCATTGCAGCAATTCCAATGTGGTACCTAACTTTTTCTGCCCCGCATCACAAGTTGGGTATAGCAATTTCTTGTGATCCTCTAGCATGCGGTCGAACTTGATCTTCTTCTTTTCACTTTCGCATTCTCTTTGTGCATCACGAATGGCCTGACCAAGATCGTCAGCGGGCTCCTCCTCTGCCCCTACCTCTTCTTCAATGGGCTTCTCCTCTGCCCCCACCTCTTCTTCAGCGGGCTTCTCCTTTGCCCCCACCTCTTCTTCAGCTTCCCCCATTGCAGTATCATTGAAGGCACCATATTCAGCAAAAATGTCATTATCGCCCCATTGTTCTTCTTCACCTTCTTCCATTACAACTCCAGTTTCTCCGTGCTTCGTCCAACAAATATAGTTTGGCATGAAACCCGACTTGAACAAGTGTGAATGAAGAGTCTTTGAGTTAGCATATTCCATCGTATTCTTACATACGGCACATGGGCAGCACATGAAACCATCGCGTTTGTTTGCCTCGGCCGCACGTAACAAAGAATGCACACCGTCCATGAGCTCTTGGGAGCGACGATCAGCATTGTACATCCAATGCCGACTCATCTACATTACATGACACAAATACCGTATTAAAACCTAGAACATAATTAGTTAATTATACAACATGCATACCACCACAAAAGCTATAAATTTAAGAAAGCCTCGCTACAATGTAGACAATCTCAACTACCACTAAAAACACTAAAGCTAAAATGCACTTCAGCAGCACAAGGATTCGCGACCAATCTCAACTAAAACAGACAGATCCCCCATTTGTTCAACATCTTTGGGCTTCTTCGGTTGGATCACTGCCTCATTAGCCGCCATATCTGCCTGTTGTGCAAGATATTTTTGCACGAGTTCAACATACTCTTCCTCCTAGTAGAAGCCTGAACATCCAGTGCCATCCCACTGAAATTAAAACAGAAAATTAGAACTTTAATCACAACCATCATGAAAATAAGTATAAACTAACCATAGTCATTAAATACGATAAAATAACTCACATTGCGATCCGGACACTTGTAGAAAATACGACCCTTGTTGGGACCCTCCTTCTTCACTCGGTACTCCATCACAATCTTCATCTCATCACAACACTTGCCGCATGCAATGAGTGGGAGGTCCGGCCTAAGTCGCTTTGGAAACCCATGAGAGGCCGAGGACCTGGAAGCAGTTGCCATCTACTCTCTATACTCATTTTTTTAATACACTATAAATTTCTCATTTTATAAACAAATAAAATTAAAAAAACTCTAAAATTCTTTATATCTCTAAACAATGAAGTGTGCTATACATGCTACAAATGAATGGTGAATACTAGTTTTTAATAGCTACTTTAACCTTCTTTCATGTAAATATGCAAGCTTGAAGTGATTTTGAGCTCAAATTGCTTACAAATAAAAAAAACCACGATAAACAACCATATATATAGTGAACAAAATGAGATAAGACAATGGTGAAACATGAGAGTATGAAGTTGGTAAGCTTTAGAACCGAAGATTCGACGGAGGAATCGAAGAAATCGACGGAGGAATCGAAGAATGGATGGAGAAAAAGTAAAACACTGTTTAAATTTGAACTGAAGCTCTCGGGCGGGCTCGGGGAGGAAAAAGACGGCCAGCAGGATTTATAGGGGGGACCTTTAGTCCCGGTTGGTGGATCCAACCGGAACTAAATGTCACTTTCCAGTCCCGGGCCACGTCACTAGCCGGGACAAGAGCTTTATTCTCGGTTGGAGCCATCAACCGGGAGTAAAGGTCGACCTTTAGTCCCAGTTGGTGGCTCCAACCGGGACTAAAGGTCTCTCTAGTCCCGGACGCAATATTTCTCGGGACTAGAGCCTGGTTTGGCCCTTGGATCAAAGGTCTGTTCTCTACTAGTGATTAGATCTAGAAAAATATTTTTATATCTTAAACTTTTCATATTTCACATATTACCTCTTAGAAAGTAATAGATGATATCAGCCATCCGATCTAATTAAATGAGCGACTCATAGTTACTTAGGGGTACCAGAGCTCAACTCTAGAAGTGCATTTATTTTGGGACGGAGTGAGCTGCATGTGGTAAAGCTGAACTGAACACTTGCACTCTTTTGCAGTCACAGGCCGGAGTGGACTCTGAAGTCTGGACTGCTTGCCCGCTTTACGTCCAGCAAGAGTAGTATCTGCTGGCTTTGCAGCTCTGCACGTCTCAGTGCAAAAGAGCTCTTTATCTTCTGTAGAGTACATGTCTGCACCCAGCACCCAGGAACAAGCCAACAAGCTAGGCATGGTCATGGATCATGGATGGGAATCATGAGACGTGAGTGCCGATTAGAGTCCAATCGGCAACGAGGCTGAGGGAGACTACGGCGGGTGTGCTAGTGATCTAGGGAAGACGTAACCACTCAACGTACATATATTCAGCTAGCAGTTTTGAGTTGGTTTCAGAGCACAAGATGGAGATGGTGTTGCAGGCAGAACGCTGCCATCGGGTTCAGCAGCAGATTGCTCAAACTCTGGGGCGTGTGGTTCGCTTGTACTACTACAGTGCAGTACATGGCTGGCAGACAGGTGGTAGTCGGACCGGACGGGACAGGGAGGCAGCGGCGGGGCCCCTCTGCTCCTTTCGTTAGCAAAGGCCAAAAGCCCATCCGGGAGACGGTCGGCCATGATTACGGCCACGTACAACTACAACAGAGCCATGGAATTCCTTGTTGCATTGGTTGCAGATGAATGAATTCTGAATTTCTGACTCTCTTGTTAAGCATACCACCACGCACCTCGTGTGCATAAATAAATGGCACTTGGAGATCGGTTAGGTACCTAGGTAGGCAGGCAGGTTAGTATGACAGTGATCGATCGGCGAGTGATTGACGTGGCTCAATGGGCGACGAACGGTTCCTGGCCTGGATGCAGCAGGGCTGCAGCAGCCAAGCTGGGGTTTCTAGCTTCTACCCAAAACTTTTGGCCATCCGTGCACGCAGTGGCAAGTGGTAAGTGGCAAGGATCAAACATGTCTGCACGAACCAAATTTCTGCCCTACCGCCACCGGTTTGGCCATGGGAAGGGCAACCAGCTTGACGACATGCACCGAATCGCATGACACGTTCGTCGGTAGCGGCCATCACCGACCAGCGCGGCGTACGTGCGTGCGTACTGGTGCGCCGCCCATGCTCGCGTGTCTGGCTGGGCACGGTGTGGGCCCTGTTCGGTCGTCTAGAAAAATTGCTAATGCTGATTTGTAATAAGCTATTTCGCTGAGAGCAAGTATAATAACGTTTTTTAGCCGGCTGGGAGGAGTCCACATCGACACGGAAAAGGGCCACGTCGGAGAGAGATTACGGAGCAAGCGTTTCCCATCTCGCCCGCCTGCAGCTCATGGTCCGAGAAAAAATTTATTTCTCGCAGCCGTCTCCCAGCTCGCTATTGGCGAGAAGCCGACGCTTCGCTCTCCCGTCTCTTCCCTTCCCGAACCCGTGCTCCACACCATCTCTCTCGGTGCCAAATCGGCATGCTCTCCCGCCAAATTGCTTCCCCCGCGCCAGATTGGTTGTTTGCGCGCCAAATCGAACGATTTAAGCCTCAATTCCTCCCCAATCGACCTCTCTCCCAAACCCTAGACACCACACCGACCGGCCGCCGCCGTTGCCTGTGCGAGATGAGTAAGAAATCCAAGAGAACCTCTGCGCCGGCACCTATGGAGATTCCCCGGCCGGTGGTTCAGCCTGTTGGATCCCCGGGCACTCGGCCCGTTCAACCAGCATCCATCCCTTCCATGTTCGGACCCGGCATGTGGTGTCCGCCTCGCCCGCCGCAGTGTTTGCCTCCTTCATCCGCACCATACTGGTTCGGTGGCGGCATACAGCAACCAGGCGTGGCAAGTTCGTCAGCTCATCAACCAGGCATGGCTGGTTCGTCAACTCAAGGGGCTTGGTGGACACCTGCTGTTTCTGGTATTGGTGGCTCAAGGCATTCTTGGCCTACGGCTGACAGTCAAGAAGACTCTGATGTGCTAGTATGGTACGTGATCCATTCTTGATTAATATTGTTTTGTGGCCCTTTTAAGTATTCTTAGTTATTTAATTTTGTACTAGTCTATTTTGCTCTGTAATTAGATGGCTTATATTTCATATGAGAGACTTCTGCAACAAAAATGATGCATATTTTTTTCTAGCAATATTTGTGGTGTTTCTTATCTAGCCTAGATGTCTGCGTGATCCCTCATGGTCTGATCAGGAGATTAGTTAGTTTATATTTATTTTTGGCAGGGCTAATCTAGTACACAAGAATTCAGTATTCATATTTATTTTTGACAGGGGATTAGATTCTCACCCTCCTGGTGGTTTTGTTAATATGTTGAAGAGCACACCACAAGTTGCAAGCAATAGGACTGCATCACAGGCAATCCATATTGACAGTGACAACAATGATGCTGATCACAGTAGGTCTGAAAAGCGCTTGACATGGACAAAAGAGGAGGATCTTAAATTGGTAAGTGTTTTTTTAATTAAAAGGCATTATGCGTTACATTGCTAGCACACACATCAATTGGCATCTATTGATAATGTTGCAGGTTAGTGCTTGGCTGATGAATTCAAATGATCCCATCCAAGCCAATTATAAGAAGAATGATCAGTACTGGAATGGTGTTGCTGAAGGTTTTAACAGAACCGTCCCAAAAAATCGAGTCAGATCAGCTAAGCAAGTAAAGGATCATTGGTGGAGAATTAAGCTAAGGGTTGGTTGGTTTTGTGGTAACCGGAAGGAGGCTGATTCTATGTGGGGTAGTGGTGAAATAGAAGATGATGTAATGAAGAAGGCACTGGCAAGTTATGAAGAAGATCACAAAAAAGATGGTCCATTTGCGTATAGGCATTGTTGGGAAGTTCTTTCCAAGGAACCAAAATGGGAAGCCTATTTGGAACGCCTTAAAGATCTAGAGCCAGAGAAGAGAAAGTTTAGTGTTGATGAGAAAGTGGAGCAGCAGTTCTCTCTGGATGATGTTAGAGATGAACGACCAATGGGGGCAGGAAAGCTAAAGAGCTGCGCAAGAAAAAGAAAAAGACCAGCCTTCTATAATAGATATCGAAGATGAGCTTCACAGCTTTTTAGATGCTCAAAAAGCTGCAAATGAAGGGCGTACAGAGATGTTAGAAACACAAAGACGTGTGTCTAGTGAGAAGCTTGAATCTCGGAGGCTTGCTCACCTTGCAGCAAAAGAAAACAAGGAGGCAGTTATGCTAGAAACATATCGATCGTTACTGACACAAGACACAACAGGAATGGATGAAGATGTGAAAGCCGAGCATGTGTTGGCATTGAGGTGCCTGAGGGAGAGCTTATTTAAAAAATGACTAAGGTATTCCTTACAGTTCCATTTATTATACTGAATGATTACTATGCTGAAACAAGTTCAATTTACTGAATGTTTTACTATGCTGAAAATGTGGTCATTGAATTATGTGCTGCACTTAATGTAGTCTATGCTAAAAATATGGATTACAGAATTATGTGTTGCACTTAATGTAGTCTATGCTGAAAATATGGATTACTGATTTATGTGCTGCACTTAATGTAGTGCAGAACTACAACACGTATCAGAACACTCTATATAACCCCCTCATCTTTCTATTTTGGCTGCAAAACTGAGTTTCTCTCCTCGTGCTCTCTGATCTTCCTACTCAGCCCAAACAATGTCAAATTCATACTCATACTTAGATGATTCTGATGAGCTAGCCCCTTCCAAAATCCTTGAAAAGCATGTTGCCGAGCAGAGCGTCCTCCACTCCTTTTCTAGGAGTCTTGCAATGAAGTTCAAGGCTGCCTTCTCGGGTGGGGTACCTCAGCGACAATATGGTCCTAGAAAGAGCATCCGGAGAGATCATGCAGGTGCCCATGAGCGTCTTGTAGCGGACTACTTTGCTGAAGAACCACTCTACCCCGAGAGTATGTTCCGTACTAGATTTCGTATGAATAGGCATCTCTTCCTAAGAATTGTGGATGCCCTTGGTCAGTGGAATCCCTATTTTACTTATAGGGCAGATTATGTTGGTCGAATAGGGCTCTCACCACTGCAGAAGTGTACAACAGCCATGCGCATGCTGGCTTATGGCAGTCCTGCAGATGCTCTTGATGAGTACTTGAAGATTGGGAAGTCCACTGCATTACAGTGCTTGGACAAGTTTGCACGAGGGGTGATTGAGGTGTTTGGTGGGGAGTACTTGCGACGCCCCACACGTGAGGATGTTGAGAGATTACTCCAGGTTAACGAGTCTCGTGGTTTCCCTGGAATGCTAGGTAGCATAGATTGCATGCATTGGCGTTGGGAGAATTGTCCTTTAGCTTGGAGGGGGTAATTCACCCGTGGTGATTATGGAGTTCCAACTATAATCCTAGAAGCCGTTGCTTCCCATGACCTTCATATTTGGCATGCATTCTTTGGAGTTGCTGGATCAAACAATGACCTTAATGTGCTGAACCAGTCCCCACTTTTTCTTGATGCCTTAAAAGGAGAAGCCCCTCAAGTTTAGTTTTCAGTCAATGGCAATGAGTATAGAACTGGTTATTACCTTGCTGATGGTATATATCCAGAATGGGCAGCCTTCATGAAGTCAATAACACTTCCCCAAACAAAGAAGCATCAGTTATTTGCTGAGCATCAAGAAGGGGTAAGGAAAGATGTGGAGCGTGCTTTTGAGGTATTGCAGTCCCGTTTTTCCATTGTTCGTCGTCCTGCACGCCTATGGAAGAGAAAGAGTATTGGAAGGATCATGCTAGCTTGTGTGATTCTCCACAATATGATAGTGGAAGATGAAAGAGAGGATGTTAAAATTCATATTGACTTGAATGAGAATCCAGGGGCATCCTTTGCTCTACCTCCTGAAGTGAACACTAGTCGTAATCCACGCGTTGCCGATGTCATGTGTAGAAAAGCTGCTATCCAAGATCGTCCACGGCATACCCAGCTTAAAAATGATCTCATTGAGCACATGTGGCGCAAGTTCGGAAATAGGCAACGTAACTAGTCATGGTAGAATTTTGAAACCTGCATGTTTCTGTTGTTTTTTTCCTTCATAGTGAGAATTAACATGATGTCTTACATGTATTTTTCCAGGAATCAAGACTGGGCATGGTGTACTGAATGCTGCAGATGATACTTGCAGGTATCCACTCTAAAATTCTGAACATGTTGTCTTGAACGTATTTGATCCACACTTGTCCACAAACTTGAACTTTTCTAGCTAATTTTTAGGACCCATATGTTTAACTTTGACACTATTATGCTTGCAGTGTTGTCACTCGATGCAAATGTGCTGGCTGCTCCATTCTACCGAAGTTGCTTCTATCTCCGTCGTCTAGATCTATGTGCTAGCGAACTCTTGCTTGAACTTATCAATGTGCTAGTTAATGAACTTATTTCGTATGGCTTGGTTGATGTTGTTTCACTAGTTGGAGAAAAAAAATTCTCTGAAGTTCCGTGGATCTTATTTCAGTATACAGTCATGTCTTGGCTTAGTATTTTTCATTAATCCACCTGTTTCCGTCATATTATTATTGTTTGGTGAATGGCTACAAAGATATCTATCACAGCTGATGGCATGTACATGGGCATCTACATGTTGACATTAAATGCTTATATTTTTATTATAGTATACCTCTCAGTCGGCTCACTATATAGGTTAACTGTATGATTAGCTGTAAGTGACATGGCAGCTTCTCTCAGCCGGCAGTGGGCTAAACCATTAGCCTTGCTCTGAACGTGGACTGGACGGAGCAGAGCGCGCACGGACGCATGTGCCGCTGCCGCGTGGTGCCCACACGAGCGGCGGAGCGGCAAGCAGAGACAAGAGAAGCCCCGGGTCGGGCCGCTGCATTTGTGCGCTCTCCGGCCGGCAGAAACGCTACGATTTCTCGGAAATTGCTGGTTGCTTCGCTGGGCCGAGAAACAGAGCGCTCGTTTGCATTGGCCATTGGCCGCCTTGTACCTGCAGTCCCTTCTTTTTTCTCTGGTCCACGCTTGCATACTGTATCCAACATGATCGACATGCCACCACCGCCATTACTCCGGCCGGCGCTACCTCAACATACACGACTCGAGCACAGCAGCGCCTACATGATGTATGTAGGCCATCCCAGAAACACACAAGGACAGGTACATGTAGATGTAGATGAGATAGGTTGACTACACTGTTGCAAAAAACCTACAAATCTACACCAAGCCCTGGCGATGAAATTTCGCAGATTTAAAACCGGATCTTCATCGAGTTTTCTTCATCGTCACTTCTTGTTCCGGTCGCAATAATGGGGCCGCACGGCACGGCAACAGGTAGCGACCCACAAAACAAGGGCAATCTGTTCTTGAGCTCTTCTTCTAACAGACTGACACTGTGTGTGGGGGGCATGGTTGCCCGGTTTCAAACTAGCAATAACAGCACCCTTGATTTTGTATTTTTCCCACGCGCGCGTTTCTCCCAGAATCCGTGCTTTATGTTTTTCTAATAAAACACTGTTAACCTATATAGCCTTGTCATACTTTGGCCAATCTATTTCAAGCTTTACATAATTTTATTTTTAAACCTTTGTTTCTATACCCAGCAAACCCTAATAATTATTTGTTGTCCTTGCCACAGAACGCACCTCCAAAATCTATAAAAAACAATTGCTAAATCATTGGCTACAAATTGAGTATTTTTTTGTCTTTCCCCAATAGTTTGCAATATTTATATTTAGTTGCTAAAAAATATCAAACTAGCCACGGTTGCACGGTGGAGCGTCGGCAATGGCGGCTAGAGGAAAGAAAACTATGTGGGAGAGAGAAAAAAGGGAGGGAGGGAGGAGGTCGAGATGTCGCTGGATGCACCTGCGTGGAACGCATGCACATACCCTTAGAGAGGAGATTTATCAAAGATTTATCTTAACAGAGTTTGGATACAAAACTGTTAGTTCGTTTTTACCCAAAAAACAAGGGAAAATTTACAATTAGAGAGTTGTTTTAAGGAGCTCTTAGAAACACTCTAATGGTACTTAACTATGCTTTATGAGAGTGACATAACAAAGGTTTCACAATCGGTAATGCTGGGATTCCAGGAAGCATATGTCCGTCCGCCCGGACGCCCCAGTTGGTGGGCCCTAGCGTCTAGAAGGCTATCTTATCTGTTCCTATCCACTCCTCTCTAGTCACCGTAGTTTATAAAAAAAACTCACGCATCGTCGTGACTGCGCTCCGCGATCGCGCTCCACCGCGCCTCCCGCGCGCCTTCCTCTCCATTGCACCTCCCGCCGCCCTTCCTCCCCACCGCCACCGCGCCCAAGCCGCCCGCTTGCTCCCCACGATCAAGACAAATCGTCGCCCGCCCCTGCCAGCAGGCAAAGACTCGCCCAGCTTGCTGCTGCCGCCTCCACCGTGGGCACCGCTCACCAGGGGCACTGCATGCGCCCTATCGTTGACGGCAGGGCAGCCGCTCACCGGGGGACCACGCAGCTGCCCACCCGCTACCATCCTCCTCCACCACGACCACAGCAGCCGGTTTTCGCTGTGCAATGCTCTGCCCCACCCGCCCCCCTGCCAGGTTTTGTTGAACACGCATGTTGCAAGTGTTTCAGATGTTTTCGATGTATGTTGCAAGTCTTTCATATGTATGTTGCAAAAGTAGATCGGGATGTTGCATATGTTGCAATGGCTATAAACATATGTTGCAAGCATCTGTTCCAAATGTTTCATCTGTTTTTTCATACGTGTGTTGCAAGTGTGTTTATCTGGGTGTTGCATATGTTTCACACATATATTGCAAGTGTTTTATCCGAATGTTGCATATGTTTTGCAATGGCTTTTCCAGTGTTTTTAGGTATTTTTTGCAAGTGTTTCTAGGTATTTTTTGTAAGTGTTTCATACTTATGTTGCAAGTGTTTCAGCTATTATGTTGAATGTGTTTTCATCTAGACGTTGCAAAAGTAGATCTCGTGTCGCACATGTTACAATGAGACCCACCTGGTGCAGCTATTGGGGCGCCACCGAGCGGGCGCAGATGTTCCCACGTGCATGCGCGTTGGAAGCGGAGGGGGCACGAGCGGTCCCGTGCGCGATCTGGCGGCACG